AAATCACAGACTAACATTTTTTGCATCATCTGGTTGTTTAATTTTTAAAAAAACTTCAAATCATATGTTTGCCGGAAAATTGCAATTGCAGTGAAAAGGCCCACTAGAAGAAAGTCCAGCCTTGCCGGCCCAGTGATCTATTATAAGTGAATGTTTCTTCTATTACTATAGTAATAGTTGTTGTGTTGTGAAAATACAGTGTAGGGCAAGAACTGGTAGCTCAGCCAACGTGCTAAGTGGGCTGACTTGTGATGAGGAAAAATGTAGGTACTTATGGCTTGGACAAATCTACTTAAGTAGGGACGAGTTGGAGTCAAGGCTCTACATCAGTTGCATGGAGCATTAGTGTGGGCCAGCCGACATCTTTATCTCAATTATTATTGGATTAATTTAAGGTAGGTGGCATAGAAGTATGAAAAAATACTGACAGGAAGCGAAGGAATAGAACGTACTCTTCAGGACGTCTAGACAAATCCGGCCGAGGTTATCAATGTTAGGATGGTATATTTTCGTCATAAACCGACATTTCGGTGGGGACATCGGATAGTCTTCTGGTAGGAAAAGTTCTAACTTGAAATAGCCCCCTTCGTAGGCACTATCTTTGGGACCTTCGACGACAACTCGGAAGTAACGAGCATTTGCCGAGTCCGGAGAAGCCGTAATGCCTTCGACGGGCTCTTTTTGGAGTCTCTGCGTTTCCTAAATAATATAGAAAAATAAAAAGGAAATAATAAAATACCTTCATAATCCGTGCAGGCAAACCCGCTGCCATCTTCCCACAATAAGCCGATACAAGCACAATTTCAAGTGGCGCCAAGTTAAAATCTGCCCTTCAGAACATTAAAACAGAAAAAGTTCTCATCGAGGGTTATTAACCACATGTGCAAAGTAAGAACAGATGGATATATCACACATTTGTGCTAGATCCATCAGAGAGACGAAACGATATATGCGCACTTGGATGCCCATCATTATTTATAAAAAGCAGCTGAGAGTGGAGCGTCTGGCAAAGTGCCGGCATGCAATCGCCGAAAACAATGCCAAGACCGCGTCTATTGTAAAATAGCGAGAACAGTTAAAGCATGGAAAGAGAAGCGGACATTTCGCAAATTAATTAATGTTAAAGAAATTTTAATCAAATAAATGGAAAACAAATGCACGAAATCGTGTAACAACTGGGAAAATTTAAAAAATAAAACCCTTTTACTCAGACACGAATGGGATTTAAACACAAATATAATTCCGCATATATAAGAGAAATAGGCGGAGCCTTTGAAAACGCTACTGACAGCTAGATTCTGGCAAATCATGCATATGCTTCAAGGCAATATACGTATACTATATCAATATCTGATGTACTCAACTTATATGACCATCAAGTAAAGTTTGATGACACCTTCTTTTAAATGCCTCAACACTTTCCGCAGGGACAACTGAAAAAGGTAATTTGGTCCAGTCCTCAATAATGCGATGGGCAATGAAGTTGGTGCGCACTTCTAGTTTGTCATTGTGTTTTTCAGTTTGTATTGATGAGCTCTGGCATTTGTCGTTTTTGCCAGTTCAAAAAAATTCGACCATCTGAAGAGCGCAGTATGCTGTTCTGATGAGTTTGAATATCATGATGATATCTACACTGTATTGCCTATAAGAGAGGGAGGGAAAAGTTTAAGTTTCTCTAGTCGGCCCTCATAGGATACGCTTACCAAGCCGCTAACTAGTTTCGTTGCCCTTCATTAGGTCAATGAAGTTAGTACACAAAAAGTCGATAACAGCTAAAAATGTTGGACTTCCTTGGGTTTGTATTCTCAAACCTACTTCTGATTTAAACCATCTTCACTGGCAATGATCTCCATAAAGCTTCACCGCACTTCCAAATTAACCTACACATACAGGATTTAAATATGTCCTCAAATAATCTACCCTCGAGTTCTTAACATTTTAACAAGAACTTATATTCTGGGTCTTCCACTCAATGGAATTCCGACTAGGTTTCAGGCAGCCCCAACGAT